TCACTAACGGTAATGTTTTCAAGGTTCATTGATATTAAGTGAAACCCTTTCTTAAAATATAAAGGAATCAAAGAGAATGAGAAGAGAAGCCACAGATTAGGAAAAGTATTTGTAAAAATGCACTAACTGGTGCAGCTCAGTGGACTGAGTGCCAGACTGTAAACCAAAGCATCGCTGGTTCGATTCCCAGTCAGGGCACATGCCTGGGTTGTGGGCCAGGTCCCCAGCATGGGTGCATGAGAGGCAACCACACATTGATGTTTCTCTCCTTATCTTTCTCCCTCTCTTCCCCTCTCTAAAATAAATAAATAAACAAATACATACATATATACATACATATTTGCAAAAGACAGATCTGATAAAAAGACTATTATCCACCCCAATAAATTGAATAAAAACTGTAAATATGTATGTTCTCTTGAAAAAGCTCTTCTAATTAAATAAAATTAAAGAGAAAAAATACTATCATCCAAAAGATACAAAGAATTCTTAAAACTCGAAAATAATAAAGTGATCCCTGACCGGTGTGGCTCAGTTGGTTGGGTGCTGTTCTGAGAACTGAAAGGTCACCGAGTTGATTCCCGGTCAGGGCACATGCCTGGGTTGTGGGCCAGGTCCCTGGTTGAGGGGGCGTACAATAGGCAATAAACTGATGTTTCTCTCTCACATTGATGTTTCTCTTCCTCTGTTTCTGCTTCCCTTTCCCTATCTCTAAAAATAAATAAATAAGATCTTTAAAAAAATAATAAAGTGAACAACCCAATTAAAAAATGGGTAAAAGACCTGAATAGACACCTCAGCAAATAAAATACAGAGCCCTGGCCAGGTGGCTCAGCTGGCTGGAGCATTGTCCCATGCACCAAATGGCTGTGGGATTGATTCCACGTCAGGGCACATAACTAGGTTGCAGGTTCAATCCCCAGTTGGGGTGTGTATGAGAGGCAACTGATTGATTTCTGTCTCATATTAATGTTTCTCTCTCTCTCTCTTCCTCACTCTCTCAAATCAATAAACATATGCTTGGATGAGAATTTTAAAAAAAAAGAGGGTATAGAGATGGCAATAAACATGAAAAGATGTCCAACATTGTATGTCAATAGGTAGATGCAAATTAAAACGAGATACACACCTATTCTAACGGCCAAAATCCCAAACCCTGAGGACACCACAGGCTAGTAAGGAGGTAGACTAAGAACTCTCATTCATTGCTGGAGAGTATGAGAAATGGTATAGGCACAATTGCTTTATAGGATAGTTCAGCAGTTTGTTACAAAGCTAAATATACTCTTACCATATGATCCAGCAATTGTGCTCCTTGGTGTTCCCCAAAGTGAGTTGAAAACTCTGTCCACACAAAATCTGCGCATGGATGTTTACAGCAGCTTTACTCACAGTTGCCAAAACTTGGAAACAACCAAGGCGTCCTTCAGTAGATGGACAGATAAATAAACTGCAGTACATCCAGACAGTGGAATATTATTCAGGGCCAAAAAGACATGAACTACCAAGCCATGAAAAGACATAGGAGAAACTTAAATGCATATCACGAAGTGAAAGAAGCCAATCTGAAACAGCTACATACTGCAGAATTACAATTGCATGACTTTCTGGAAAAGGCAAAACCATGGAGACAGTAAAAAGACCAGTGGTTGCCGGGGGCCAGGCCCGGGGTGGGGGAGGGATGAATAGGCGGAGCACGGAGGACTTTTTAGGGCAGAGAAACTACTCTGTATGATACTTAGTGATGGAATCATGTCGTCAGGCCTTTGTCCAAACCCAGAGAATGTGTACCACCAAGAGTGAGCCCCAGTGTAAACTCTGGCCCTTGCGTGAGGTGATGTGTCCGCGCAGGTTCATTGATTACAATAAAGGCACTACCGTGGTGCCAGATGTCAGGAGCTGGGAAGCTGCGTGCATGTGGGTTGCAGTGTGTGTGTGTGTGGGGGGGGGGGGTTGGGGGGGCACATGGGAAATCTTTGTACTTTCTGCACCATTTGGCTGTGACCCGAAAACTGATCTAGAAAAAAGCAAACAAACAGAGTAGTAGAACCAAAAACTATTACGTATACCTGACCTTCAGAGTATCATGCATAATCTGTGGTGATTCCAATGTTGAGGGTGGCCTTGCTGCTCTGCTCAGGTCCCCTTCTCGGGGCCTGAGGCTGTGTTGGCCGCTAGTCGCTCACTCTGAACCCTTCTCAGGTTGGTCCCCACTGTGCCCTTGGCTATGAGACGCTCTCTCTGGCCAGGAGAGGCCTGGGAGCTTGCATTCTCCTTAAAGGCCAGTGATGGATGAATGTGGGCATGTAACAGCTCAGCCCTTTTGCCTCTGGGTGGAAGAACCTTTCTGGTGCAAGTCCTGCTCCAAGGCTCCTGTTGGGCTCAGGCTGAGGCCCACCTCTTCCTGAACCCACATCTTTGCAGAGCTTCTTCCTCTGCTCTCTTCCTTACCCCCACTCCCCTTCTCGGTTTCTTTTGAGAACAGCCCTCGATGACTCACCGGCCCAAGAATCGCCCGTCTGACTCTGCTGCCGGGGAGCTGATCTCTGGCAGTCCCTGTCTTCTTGGTAGAGCCTGATTTGTTTTGCAAAATAGTACATTAGGTCTTGTCAAGGCCTGGAAAGGTCTTGCAAATAGCATATAGAAAGGTTACCTTGAAAAGGTCTGGTAATTTATTGTCCACAGTGTTACTTGACACAAATAAACAAAAGACCTTAATTTTTTTTTTTTTTTTGCCATTGGGGGCAGAAATCTGAGATACACAGCATTGCTGAGGCTAATTCCACAAAAACCAAGCCATTTGCTCACAAGAATAAGTTTTTACATTAAAACAGTGACTCTGGGCAAGAATGAACTAACACGTGTACGAAGTGAGACAGTAAAGCAAGGTACAGGCTGGATAGAATGTGACAGAGGTTTGTATGCTGTTTTGGAGCTATAGCTGGCCCTGGACAGGAGCCAGCACTGCGTGACTGGAAGGGACAGGGCGTTCCACGAAGAGGGAACCGAATGTGCCAAGGCCAGGAGGCCGTTGGCTGGAGTGGAGTGAGTCACATGGCAGGAAATGCGGTCACGGGGATAGGCCCTCAGAAAACAGCTGACACGTGCCTGGAGCCTGGCCTCAGTTTTCTCATTGCGTGCATTTAATTCATTTGATCTTTTAAAAAAAGATTTATTTATTTATTTTTAGAGAGGGAAGGGAGGGAGAAAGAGAGAGAGAGAAACATGAATGTGCGGTTGCTGGGGGTCGTGGCCTGCAACCCTGGCATGTGCCCTGACTGGGAATCGAACCTGCAATACTTTGGTTTGCAGCCCGCGCTCAATCCACTGAGCTACGCTCATTTGATCTTTACAACAACCCTCTGAAGCACAGAGAGGTGAAGTTGTAGTGGGCAGTTAGGCGTGAATGGAGCCGAATGATAGACCAGTTATAGAAGGTCACCAGGGCGGAAAGCCGCAGGTGCCCAGCAATGGACAAGTGTAGGGTGAGACCTCAACCCCAGCAGGACCTTTTTTCCCCTAATATATCCCTGGCCATGTGGCTTGGACCCCCTGACCTTTCACATCACTAGTCATGCGGTTCGGACCCTCCCCTGACCTTTCCTCCACTGGCATGTCGTTATTCATGAGGGTTAGGTCCCCTTACAGGAGCAACAAGGGGGCTGGAGAAGAGCCTCATAGGACCCCCATGCAAGCCCTTGCCCGACCTCTCCCTGCAGTCATTAAGCCCTAGAGATAACATCCAGGCCTCAGCTGTGTGTGTTTTTATTGTCCACAGTGTTATTGGACACAGGCCCAGAAAAGCAGCAATATCAGGCAAGGCATCGCCATGGCAGCACCAGGACCAGCTGTGATGACTAATGACCCCCCGCCCCGCTCCAACCAGCCCCAAGCAGCCCTGGCGCCGTGGAGACCACAGCCCTTCCATGTGCACCAAAGAATTACCCGCCCCAAATGTCAGGAGGGCCGAGGTGAGAACCCCTGCTCTAAACCTCACCTATTTTTTCACACTTTCCCCAACTCTTATTGCTGTATAATGTCTTTTCCTATATAAAACAATATTTTCATTCCTGTCCTTAGAAACTGTAAAGACTTTGCATGATCTGGAAGTGAGACTGTACCAAACACTGGCCAAAGAAACATAGTCCACTCTATGCCCTCCTTCTCTTTTGTCCGGCCACTCAGAAATATGTTATCATCTATGATCATTGTTGCTTGTCGCCTGCCGCTATGTTTATCCATGTAGTCACCATAGCCTGCTTCCCCCCCTTTCACATACTGATACACCACATGCTGCAACTCGGGGCCATGTCGTCTTTTGACCGACATCACCCATTTGGTGTGCTTCATTTTCCCTTCCTTTCCACATCTCACTTATTGCTAGAGAAAACACTGTCACTGGGTTTTTCCCTCCCACCTGTCTCATGACAGGGTCCTGGCCCACTTGCCCAAGTAACTTCCACGTCATTCAGAGACCTTTCGAGAACCAAGTGGCTGGCTATTTCAGGCTCATGTCTTAACAAACCGATGAAGCACCTGTAACACAAATCTCCGAAACATTGCTTCTATTTTTCTTTTCCTACACTCTGATCTTCAGTCTTATCTGTCAGGATGGACAGGTATCCTTTCTCAAAGTATGTCGGAACATATTCGCCCATACATTTGATAAGGGGTTAATATGCAAAATTCATAAAGAACTTATAAAACTCAACCCCCCAAAACCAAGTAATCCAACTAAAAAATGAGCAAAGGACCTGAATAGACACTTCTCTGAAGAGGACACACAGAAGGCCAGTAGACACATGAAAAGATGGTCAACACCACTTATCATCAGAGAGATGCAAATGAAAACCAGAATGAGATATCCCCTCACACCTGTCAGAATGGCCACCGTCAATAAATCAACAAACAGCAAGTGCTGGAGAGGATGTGGAGAAAGGGGAACCCTGGTGCACTGTTGGTGGGAATGCAGACTGGTGCAGCCACTGTGGAAAGTAGTATGGAGTTACCACAAAAAGGTAAAAATGGCATTTACCATGGACATGACTACAAAATATTTGCCCACTAGGTTTTCTTTCTGCTACGTTGCTAGCGTTCAGCCTGCTGGAAACATTTTATTAACCCTTACTTATTTACATTGCCTAGATCAGCACTGTCCACTATAAATATAATACAAGCTGTATGTGATTTTGTAATAACCATTGGTAAGCTGTGAGATTTTGCAATAGCTGTCTTAGATTTCTGGAGTCTTCCAGGTGTCCTTTGTCTAGCGAACACTTCAAGGTTGCTAGTGACCAAATAGTTTGTGATCACAAGATCATCTCCATTCCTGTTACATAGGACCGACTGCCATGGCAATTGGGTTGACCCAAGCAGGGATAAGACTCAGACTCAGGAGGAACTAAGGCAGTGGAAAGATCCAGAACACGTGAAAGTCCTTAAATAAAAAGTATTAATTTTAAATAACTGTATTAAAGATAATTAAAAAAACATCTTTACACTTACAAAAATTAAAAATGGAACTACCTTTTGCCCCAGAGATCCCACTTCTGGGAATTTATTCAAAGAGACCTAAACACAAATTCGAAATAAAATATGCACCTCTATGTTCACTGCAGCATTCTTAACAATAGCCAAGATTTGGAAGCAGCCCAAGTGTCTACCAGTAGATGAGTGGATAAAACAATTATGGCATATCTACACAATGGAATGCTAGTTGGCCGTGAAAAAAAACAAACAAGAAAATTTTACCCTTTGCCAAAGCGTGGATGGACGTGGAGAACATTAAGCTAAGTGAAACAAGCCAGCCAGAAGTTCTAGACAAATACCATATGATTTCACTCATTTGTGGAATCTAATGAACAAACTGAACTAACAAGCAAAATACAGACGGACTCACAGATAGAGAGAAGGCTGACAGCTCTGGGTGGGGGTGGGGGAGTGGAGAGATGGAGCAAAAATGAAAAAGAATTCCTGGACCTGGACAACAGTGTGGTAACTGAGAGAGGGTTGGGGGTGGGTGGAGGCAGAAGAGGATATAGAGGGATAAATGGTCATGGAAAAATACAATAAAAAAAAAGATAACATACCTTTGGAATGTCGAGTAATTGGCTTTTTCCAGGCCCCTCGGGGCACAACTTCCCAGCAGAACAGGAGACCACAGACCCCTCCTCAACCCCTCCTCGTTATCTTGTTTTCCAAATACCATCTCTGTGTGCTGATAGTAAGTGTCAACTATCCCATAGGCACCAATGTAAAACAAGGATGTATCTGTTTTATTCTTTATCCAGTCTCAGAGATTTCCCCATTGCTTTATCCTGCCTCCCTAATCTACCACCAAAGAATTTCAGGGAACTCGCCTTAGGCTCTTGCTTTGATTCTAGTGTATAAAGCAAGTGGCAGAACTGCCATTCTCCAAGCATTCTCTCAAATCTGTGGAGATTTTGCTGCTCAGCAATTGTGGTCAGCTTGGCTCAAATAAATTCTTGTAAAACTTTTTCTTAGGCTGGACATTCTTTTCTCGTCAGCTATAAAAAAAAATTATAAAAGCTCAGGTGAGACAACTGAGGAATGTAGTCCTAGATCTTGCCCTTGATGTTCTGGAGCAGAGTTGGACTTACTCCCTCACGTTATTTCCTTTCAATTCAACTTACTGTGCTCTACCACACGGCATTTTACATATTTTTTCTCTCTGGTTCCCTGTGAGATAACACCAAACATTTGAAAAGTAGCATTGCATAGTGATTAAGAGCACGGAATTCTGAAACTGGACTGCTTGGGTCAAAGTTCTGCCTCTGCCACTTTAGAGGTATGCGACCTTCCGGGGGGGGAAAAAAAATGAACCTCCCTGACACAACCTCCCTGTTGCCGTATCTGTAATAACAACAGTGCTTATCTCCCAGCGACAGTGCCTAGCTCTCCTAGGGTTGTTGCAGGATTAAATGGGTCACCCGAAACACTGGCGGATCTTTAAGGATTCCAAAACGCAGGCCCCACACAGAGCACTGAACTCACAACCCTGTCTGGGTGATTAGGTCGTGGGCAGGAGTGTATTTTTGGTTTCCCTAGGTTATTTCAGTGTGCGTGCAAGTTTAGAAACCAATGGGTTAAAATATTCTGTGCGCTGGTTTTAATTCTTTAGTGGGCATTCCCGGAATTACTAAATCTCTGGTTCTCCCAGATCTCTGGACTCCTGATCGTAGTTGATAAAGCACGCTTGACTCCTAAGCTCCGCGGGCCGCTGGGCACTTAAAGCCCCGGCGGTTGCACGCCGGGACTGGTAGTCGCCTGTGATCACCGGCCTCCTCGCCACCACCCATTGGTTTTCGCAGACGCCCCGCCCCAAAGCTTCACCAATCAGCGCGGCGCAGTCGGCTCTCAAAAGGGAGACGTAGGGCGCAACACCGCAATCACTGCAGGGCGGCCGCCAGGAGGTGGTAGGTCGGAGGCTGCGCGTCGCGAGCGGTTCCCACGGTCTTGCCCCGGCTGTCGCCGTCACCTTCGTGATCACCCGCCGCAGGTAACGTCCGGGCCGAGGCCGCGCGTGTGCTGCGGAGGCTCATGGCCTCACAATAGGGATTTTTAGTTCCACTGGCCCTGTCTGAGTAATCGTTTCTCACCTTGCGAAAGAGAATTTAGGGAAACGACGAATTCCTTAGGGAAAACGCGTGACCTCCGCAGCCCGCCATCCGGTGGGCGTGGTGGTGATGGTGGTGGTGGGCTCTCGGTTGCACACGCTCCGGCCGGAGGCCTAGGCCCCACCTCCGGGAGTGGGGCGGGACAGGCGCGAGCGGAGGGGGCATTTGCTGAGGTCCCCCAGCCCGGGAAGGCCCGGCAGGGTCTGGGGCTTGGTTTCGACCTTTACAAACCAGGGACAGTTCACGCTGTGGGTACTTTCAGTGCGGAGGGTTGCACCCTTTTCCAGCCAGTTCTCCGTAGGAGCCTCCGGGGAAGGGCTGTTAAGGACAACACCAAAAATACCCAAAGCTGTATAGAAACATTGCTTCTGAGAAGTCAGGGAAGCCCTCGTTCTGAGGTCTGAGCTGGTGGGAATTACAAGGTGATACCCATCAACCACAGAAGTGAAAGTTAGCTGGGTTTGGTGCCCTGCCCCTAACTGTCTGAGTTGAGGTTATGCCTACATAGGTTATTCCATGGCAAGAATTGTAGGATCTTGGGGCTGAGAGAACAAAGCTTGTGTCAGGTGTTTCGTTTCATAGATGAAAATAAAGGCCCGGGGTTTGAGACACTTGCCTTGTGGTGTGTAATGAGTGGAGTAGCTCAACTTTTAGCAAACATTTACAGAGCTGTAGTAAACTTCTTGAACTGGGATTATCTTGCAAAGGGCAGAGGCAGTCTACAGTGAACCAGCCCAGTGTTACATGGGCAGCATTAATCCTATGGGAAGCGATAGACCTTTGCTGAGAAGGGAATGCTTGAATGGAGTTCGAGGGATGGGCAGGAGCCAATGAGATGGAGGAGAAGAATGTTTCACTTGGAAAACAGCATGGCGAAGGCATGGAAAGAGCATCAATTTGGGGGGGTGGAGTCTTGGAGCCTGGAGTGAGGGATTTCATGTGGGCGGTGAATTTCATGAACCGTGAGAATAGAGAGGTACATCTTGTCGGGCCTCCTGTGCTACTGGAAGAGATTTGGATTTTGTCCTGAAAGCTGGATTCAGTAACTGTGTATCTTAGATACTCTGTAGTGGAGACAAGCATTGGACAGGGAGCTGTCACACTAGGGAGCTCATAGGTACTGATTCCCAGGAGTACTGCTGAGGGTTTTGAGAGAGTTACAGTGGGAAGTGACAGGAGAGGAGGAATGGTGAACCGGTGCGAGGGTGGAACACACCACACCCAGTCCTGTTCGATGAAAATATATTGAAGAGAACTCTGTCCCTTCAATTTTCAAACCCATGACTATTGAGGAAAGGCCCAGCATTTCTTTTTTTAACTGCAGAAGTTGCTTTGTAGCTCATAATTGAATCTCAGTTCATGGTGGGGAAATGGTCACATGTATCAAAGATGTTGAAATCAGAATGATTAAACAGATAAGACTCTTGTAACCCGGGAAATGCAAATTAGACCCATAACTAGATTACTTTATGTCCCATCAGATTAGAAATAAAGTTTGAAGAAGGGCAAGATGGCGGACACCAAAGAGGGTGTTTTGCAGCTGGTGGGACCCTCCACTTCCCCAGTTTCGTTTGGTTTTATTCGCACAGCTGCCCAAAGACAGCTGGTAGACCGGGGAGACAGCCTGGGTGCAGCTCCAGAAGAGAAGGATTTCTTAAAGACTGTGGAAGGGAGGAAGTTGCAGAGTGTTAATCCCTCAGAAGCCCCCAAGGATCTCATCATCCCTCTGAACCAGAGTGGCCTCCAAAGGCAGCCACTAGCCCAGGCCCCTGGCCCATCCACAGCTACTGAGGCCGAGGTGGGCGGGCTGCTGTCCCAGGCTGTGAAGGAGGTCATTGAAGAATCCAAGAAGTCTTTGGAGGGGGAAGAGAATGCGGGTGTCAACCCCACGCTTGCTATCCCCATGATCCAGAAGAGATGCGCCCCCAGTGAGGAAGGGGCAGACAGTGAACCCCGGGCTGAGACAGCACCCAAAGAGGCTGATTACGAGGCAGTCCCAGTGGAGGCCTACGGCCTGGCCATGTTGCGGGGCATGGGCTGGAAACCTGGCCAGGGCATCGGCCGCACCTTCAGTCAAGTGGTGAAGCCCCGCATCGACTCACTGAGGCCTAAAGGGTTAGGGCTGGGCGCCAACCTGACTGAGATCCAGGCCCTGGTCCCCGCCCACCCCTGCCGCCTGCTGGGGCCAGGTGAGCAGCAAGAGGAGGCTAGGGAAGACCAGCCTCGAGGACTGGTGCCTGGAGGGGCTGTGGTGGTTCTTTCTGGCCCTCACCGAGGCCTCTACGGGAAGGTGGAAGGTCTCGATCCTGACAATGTTCGGGCCGTGGTTCGTTTGGTCGTGGGGAGCCGCTTGGTGACTGTTAGTGAGTACAGCCTGCGGCCTGTCTCCCAGCAGGAATTTAACAAAAACTCCTTGGGTCTCGGCCAAGCGAGCAAAACTTCTCCAGGGCGACAGAACAGAACAGCCTCATCAGGGAAAGCCTTCCAGGATCAGGACCTCCCGGCAAGGCAGGGAGTGCTAGCGCGAGCGGGAGAGAGGAAGAGGAAACGCCTTCCAGACGGACAGCGCGAGCCTGCATCCCAGAGCGAGAGAGCAGCAGCCTCTGGGAGCCAGCACTGGCTGCACAGGGACCTGCGTGTGCGGTTCGTGGACAAACTGCGCAGGGGCGGCCAGTATTACAACACCAAGATGACCATTGAAGACGTCCTCAGTCCAGATACTTGTGTATGCCGGACAGACGATGGCCAGGTCCTGGAAGGTGTCAGGGAAGACATGCTGGAGACACTCGTCCCCAGGGTCCAGGGCAGCCGCGTGATGGTGGTGCTGGGGCCACAGGCTGGAAGGGTGGGCCGTCTGCTGGGCGGGGACAGAGAGCGGAGCCGGGCTGTGGTTCACCTGCAGAGAGAGAATCGGCTGCTGGAGCTTCACTATGACGCCGTCTGCGAATACCTGGGCCCCCGTGACCCAGAGGAAGACTGACCCGTGGACACAGTGTGAAAAGCCCCCCTCGTGAGCGTGGGGAGGCTGTTGTTCTGTGCTGTATTTGCCGTGCAGCCCTGGGACAGGGACAGGGCACAGAATGCCCTGCCAACAGGTAGTGTAGGAATAAAAACCATTTCAAATTAAAAAAAAAAAGGTAAATTTGATACTCTCAAGAGGCGATAGGTATTTGAGGAAAGGCTTCACTTCTAGTGGAAGTGTACCTTAGAACACTAGCTACCGGGAGAATGGGTACAGAAGGGGTATTTCTTTTTTTTTTTTTTTAGACTTATTTATTTATCTATTTATAGAGAGATAGGAAGGGAGGGAGAAAGAGGGAGAGAAACATCAATGATCAATGTGTGGTTGCCCCTTGCACGTCCGCTACTGAGGACCTGGCCTGCAACCCAGGCATGTGCCCTGACTGGGAATCGAACTGGCAACCCTTAGATTCACAGGTCAGCACTCAATCCACTGAGCCACACCAGCCAGGGCAGAATGGGTATTTCTTAAGATACCCACTGGTCCCACTTCTAGAAAGTATCTTAGTCAGTCATTTGTATACAAGGAGAGGAGTATTAGTATGTTCATTGCAACGTAGTTTATAAGGGTAAAAAGATTGAAACAGCCTAAATGGCCATTAATAGGGGACTGTATAGAAATAGGGGCCATTAATAGGGGACTGTATAGAAATTGGATATGTTTTTTAGATATATAATAAATTATTGGAAAGAAATGCTAACTTACCAACGTGGTTACCTAGTGGTATAGGGAGAATGGGAGAGGAAATGGGGAAAAATTTCATCTGTAATGTTTTGTTTTATAGGCAAAGAGACAATCGATTTAAAAAATATTAATAGCTGATGGCCTGAGTGATAAATAACAGGTGTTTTGTGTTAGATTTTGTACATCCTGTATTTCGGTATCTACCCTTCAATTTCTTGAAACATAAATTGGAATAAAGTTTAACTTAACTAACACCTAGCTATAAAAGTCATTTGGAGAGAAGACTGCAAGCTATATTGATACCACATTTCAAAAATAGTCATTTGGGTAAAAGAAATTCAAGTGCAAATAAGTAGAGAAAATAAAGATACGGAAAAACCATTAACCACTGACCAAGTTTACTTTGCTAGATTTCTAAATTCTTCTCACCATTAGTAGATTTGAAAATGAATTTTTGACTGTCTGTTTTGAAATATGATTGTTGGTTATACTTTTTGTAATGTTAAAAGGTTTTTAAAAAGAAAAGGTAAAGTTGACATCTGATGAAACCCATTGCTATGAAAAGTGGTGTATTTATAAGTCGGGGATTTCGGGTGGACCTCTTTGGGAGCGGGGGTGTCATTCTGCCTACCACGTGATGAACTCTATTGTTTGAAGAAGCGCAAGTGTGGAGACACTAAAGGATGTCATAAAAAAAAGGTAAAATCATCACCGTACGGATATAAAAATGAACTGGTGTTCAAGATTATATTTAACTCATTAGTGAAGAAACTTAGTGAGGTGTTACAACCAGTTCTAAGGAGATTCCAAAGTACAGACATATCTGAATGTTTTTAGACGGGAACTATTTTCATTATTGTTACCCACAGCTTTACAGAGTTGTAAAAAATTCCTGTATAATTTTTAGATATCAGATACCCTAGAAGTATATGCTCAAATTTGGAATCTAATTTGCCATCAAATCAGAAATGTTTCCTACAGGACAAAATTGATTATTCCTGAACAAAATACATTCCTTTAAAAAAAAAAGATTTTATTTATTTATTTTTAGAGAGAGGGGAGGGAAAGAGAAAGAGAGGGAGAGAATCATCAGTGTATGGTTGCCTCTTGTAAGCCCCCTACTGGGGCCTGGCCCGCAACCCAGGCATGTGTCCTAACTGGGAATCGAACCTATCACTCTTTGGTTTGCAGGCCTGTACTCAATGCACTGAACCACACCAGCCAGGGCTAACACCACTTTTTAAACAGGGAATCAAAGGCTTTGAGAACTGAATAGTCTCTCAATATTATTTGCTCTTACCATCTCAGTTCACGGATGGACAGTGTGGCCCAGAGGGGCTGTCCCGTCCTCCCCGACTTAGCAGCCGTGAGTCCTGCGCGAAGGAGAAACTGCACTGGATGCTTGTTACAAACAGCGAGAGGGGTTTTTACTGTATTTCAGCTGTTTATTAGGGGAGAGAGACTCTGGCGTAGAACTGGCCTTAACTCTGACCACAGCGAGGATGGCTGGGACGTGTGGGCAGCGTGAGAGCTCAGCGGCTGGAAAGTTACTGAGAGGAAGTTGCTTGGATGTCAGAGGTGGGAGATTCTCAGAGGATTTTCGCTGAAACTGAGCTCAGCAGGCCAAAGCTTACCTCGGGAGGAGGACTCAGAGGAGCTCGGCTCGAGCTGGGTCAAGGAGGAGGTCCTCACCATGTGCTGATTCAGCCAGGCACCCCCTGCGTGATGATTTCATCATGAACTCACTCCCGGAGAGCAGAGAGCAGGATCAAAGGCATCTTTTCAGACGTCGTTGCCTAGCGTGGCTTTGATGCTTCGCTGTTTCCAACCCAGAGCCAGTAGCAAATCAGGTCTGGCAGTGAGAGGTCACAGCCACAGCGGTTAAGGTGTGGGCTTTGGTGTCAGACCTGGGTTTGGCTGCCGGAGAGATGATCATGTGACCGTGGCCTTACTTCTGACATTGTTGGTGACAGCTTACCTCCAGTGGATCCAAACCTCCCAAATGGAGTGAGCCCCACTGCTGGCACACTTTTTGAAATCACACAGAATCCTCCAGTTGAGTCAGTGACCTAGTGTAGCCTGGTAACCTGAGGGGGGTCACAGGACCAAGTGGGCACAGCAGAAGACTCGTCATCGGACGCTGGTGAAACTCTTTCGTAAAGGCCTGTCCTTTGACCGTGACTTCGGATCAGCCCACGAGTGCCTCAGCCTAGTAGGGTGGCGAAGAGGAGTGTGGGTGTCCTCCCACTGGAGGAAGCGCAGGGGCTCGCTCCCTGATCGGGCCCCACATGTGGGGTGTAGCGTCCCCATCTGTGGTTGCAGGGCCCCCAGACATTCAAATAAACAACTCTTTTATGAGCAGCGAGAGGAGGCAGTGGGAGCAGGCAGTCTCGGGTGGGAGTCAGGTCTGTGTCACTCACCAGCCGTGCCAGGTTCCAGGACGTGTCTCCACCGCCGAGCCTCAGCTTCCTCAGGTGCATGAAGGGGGTTGTGAGGCTGGCCCCCCGAGGCGGTGAGGCGTGACCTGGGGGCACACAGCCACAGGTGTCCACTCCCACCCTGCGCCTGGGAGACGTGCTCCTCTTCCTGTGTGAGAGTGTCAGCTGTCATTTTCTCCCCGCAAACATTTGGCAGACTGAACAGGTAGCCCTAACGGTGCTCCTGGCACACGGAGGTCTGCCTTACTCTTTTGAAAGGCTTCACAGTCCCCGCTTATGAGCGTGTACCTCCATGACATCACCATTAGTGTTGCTTCCTGGGTTTTGCCGTTGCAGAGGGGTGGGCTCCTTCACCTCCTCCAACCCTCCCCTTCTGAAAAGGGCGCCTCGTGCTCCTGCCGGACTCCCTCTCCTGCCTTGCATTTGTCCCCGGCTCTCCCCACCACCTGGCAAGCTGAGTCTTCCCCTGGCCCGTCTCTTCCCACTGGACCGTCAGCTCCGTGAAGGTTTTGTCCGCCTGGCCCCCTCTCCGGGGCTGGGAGCTCCTGGGGGGTGCGCTGGCCCTGTCCCCTGGACGAGTGGGTGGGCGGACTGCAGAACAGCAGCCAGAGAGCTGGGTTTGCAGGGATCATTGCTTTTCCTTCATGGACTTTTCACTTTGCTGAAACAAGAATAATAGGCATGCTCAAGATTATTTGTGCCTTAGCCAAGAATGTTGCTGATCAGGTGGAAATGGCCGTCTGAGGTCAGCTGCTTTGACTCGGGCTCATGGCTGAGGTGATGGGATGATTATTAACGGTGCTTTCACGTCTCCTGCCCACCCCAGGCCCCTGGGTGTCTTCCAAAATAGTATCAGTGCGTGTATTTTTCAGGTGGCACCTCCAGTCAGTGTCCGACTGGGGGGGCTTTTAACTTGCCGCTATGTTCAAGGAACGACACTCTGTTTATAAGAAAAACAAAGCGATAGAAGAGAACCATCACCACATGTTAACTATACAAACATCACTCTATAAGGCCCTTCTCTCACAGAGGAGCAGCTTGCTAGTATTTTAGAAGAAGAATGACAGATACACTTGAACTTCTAAAATTAACCCGGCGGTGCTTTTTCAGCAGCTGCCGCGCTGTTTGCTCATTGAGGCGGTTTAGCTGCCGGCGTTCACGCCACTGTTCTCAGCCAGGCCAGCCCCTGGATTCCGGGATTTCATTCACTCCTTTTGTCCCCGAACATGAAGGGAAGGAGCGTGCCTGCAGAGGAATGAAGCTCTTCAGGCCCAAGTCACAGGAGCCAAACGCAGAAGGGCCAGGTGTGCACACCAGGGGCCTGTTTAATGATTGCCCAGGACGGGTGGGCGAGACGCGCAGCCGGCGCACCTGCCACGTGGGCGGAGGAGGCACTCGCTGGCGGCCCGGGGTGGCCGGGAGACAGCTGGCTTCGGTGCCATGCTGCCGAGTCCAGGGATTCCCCTATTGTCTCTGGCTGCTGGTGTGATACAGTGGGGGCGCTGGGTTGCTGTGCCCCGGGCTGGCGCGACCCGCAAAGCTGGGACTGTCGACTGTCCAGCCTTCCAGAGAAAACATTTGCCGGCACCTACCCCAGGGAAGGCTTCCCAGGGGGGCCTAGGTGCGGCCAGCCGTGAAGGGTGAGCTCAGAATCGAAGAGCCGCTGGGTGGGCCACCCCAGCAGTCACCGTCGCCCCTCCTGGTGGGGCCCCTGAGGAGCTCTGGGGACAGGGGTGCTGTTGCTCCCCGGCTCCCTCTCCCCGACCTCGCAGACTCTTTGCCCCGAGTCCCTGCAGCTCAGAGGGGGTTTTCCCTCTTATCTCAGAACGACAGGCCTGGCCTTCGCCTCACAGGGAGGCTGTGTGTGTCACAGAGCCATCTTCAGGACACAGGGCAGGGTCTGATTGGAGTAATGAATGGTGGCCGGGACTCAGCCTTTTCAAAATAGCACGTCACGTTTTGACACCAGAGTATAAAATTGGGCGTGAACTTCACTGGGGAGAGTCTTGAGATGCAGAACCATGGAGCAGAAAGGATGCTCCCAGAATTCAGACGGCGTGCCTGGCGTCTGGCCAGAGCTGAGTCTCGGGGGTTTGGGCAAGTTCCTGTAAAACCAGGGTTGGAGGGTTTGCCCTGCCATCTGTACAGGATACGTGTGAGCGGGTTAAATGTTACACAAGGACAGTGAGTTGGGCTGCCCGTGTCTGACTCTTGCTCACCCAGTTCGCTTGCTCACTGACTAATAAACGGTCATTCAGTGTTTGTATTGAACATAGACTGAGTGTTGACACACCTTATTATATAAGTAGTACGCATTAACTGTAGTAAAGAGAAAGACAAATATGAAAAAGAAAGTCATTCTTAATTCCACCTACTACCCAGTAATAACCACTGTTACATTTTTATGTCTGCCTCCCACATTCTTCTGTGCATACATTGCATGCATGTTCTTTTCTTGCAAACAGTTCATAGTACGTGGTAGGCCTTTTTAAAAAATTGATTTCAGAGCAAGGAAGTGGGGGGAGAAACATCAGTGTGTTGTTCCGCTTATGTATGCATTCATTGGTTATCCTTGTATGTGCCCTGACCAGGGGTTGAACCCGCAACCTTGGCGTATCAGGGCGATGCTCTCACCAACTGCGCTGCTTGGCCAGACAGATACTTTTCTAATGCACTGGATTTGACGGATGAATTTTATCTGCTGCATACCAAGTTGTGACAAACCTTTCAAGGCTGCTCAGGGAGTTTTCTGGGTATTCTTTGGTATGCACTCACAACTATAACTTGTGCTGAACTTGTTGGCAGGTACGGGCAGTCCGTCCCCTTCTCCACCTGGGGGAACGGGGCCGCAGAGCTAAAACTAAAATTCCGCTGTCACCCTTTTTATCCGCAGCACATTCTGCCTGACGGCTGCATGGTCTTAGCATTTGGCCCGCTTTCTCTGGTACTGTCTTAGGGTCCAACAATATTCTGCTCTTCCCATCCCTTTGTTGCTTGACGCTGCTTTTTCCTTCCCAGGTGTCTGCGGTTGAATGCCAGGGCCCAGGATGATTTGGGCGATAGCCGTGTTGCTCAGCCTGGCGCTGGGGGCCGGTGCTGCTCCCCAGGACGACCCCGAGGACGGAGGCAAGCACTGGGTGGTCATCGTCGCAGGTTCGAATGGCTGGTTTAATTACAGGCACCAGGTGAGGTGACTCATCTCTTTTTTATGGCACCGGCGTTCTGTAAACAATCCTGGACCTTATTAATAGAACCGACCTTTTAAAGAGCCATTTACACTGCTTTTAGGCTGGCGAAGGTGTGTTGGCGAGGCCGTGGAGAAGTGGGAACCCTCATGTTGCTGGGGGTTACAGAAGGGTACCTTTATTTTGGCAAGCAGTTTGGCAGTTCCTCAAAATGGCCCCCACCGAGTCACATCAATCTAACCCGAGGTTTTCAGCCTCGGGCTGTGCATGTGGGACCAGGTCATGCTTTGGGGGGCTGCCCCGCACATTGTAGGATGTTTAGCAGCATCCTCGACCTCTGCCCACTGGACAGCAGGAGCGACGCCTACTTCCTACCCCACTGTTACAGCCGGAAGGATCTCCGGCTTTTATCAGGCATCCCCAGCTGAGACCCACTGGTCCACACCTTCCTCCTACAGATAAGGAAACGGAGAGAGGAAGTGGCTTGCCCGGAGCCACACAGAGGTTGAGGTGCAGCGGGACTGAAGCCCAGGGCTCTGGTCAGAGCCTCCCGAAGCCGCCGTGCTGTCCATGCCTCCGCCCCGCTGCTGTCCCTTCACAGCCCCCTCCCCAGCTGCCCCGGCGTCTGCACCAAGTCAGCCCGGAACAAAGCAGGGGAGAACCCACGTCTGCAAACACAGTAAAAGTGCAGCCTCCTGGGGGGGAATGGGAAATGGTGCAGCCACGTTGGGGCACAGACTGGCAGTTCCTCAGAAGGTTAAACACAGGGTTAGCATGGCACCCAGCGATTCCACTGCCAGGCACACACCCAAGAGAAGCGAACACGCGTTCTCACGAAAACCGGTGCTCGAACGATCGTCGTGACAGCCAAGAAGTGGGAACAATCCAAGTGTCCGTCATCTGATGGGCGGGCACACAAGCCATGGTACATCCACGCGCAGGGATACTATTTGGTCGTTAAAAAAAGGAAGTAGCGATACCTCAACATGGATGAACCTTCAAAATATTATGCTGAATAAAAGGAGCCCGTTGCAAAAGGCCGCGCGTGCTGTGGGATGCCAGTTATCTGAGATGTCCAGATGAGGGGAGTCTGTAGAGACAGAATGTTGGGGGGTAGTTGCCATGCTCTGGGTGGAGGGAAGCCGGACCATCTTCTAGGAGCCTGTACCCGGTGAACCCATTTAATCCCTGTAGTGGGTTATAGGCGATAGTTCAGGTCCTCATTCCCTCTTTAGAGCGAACGAGGGGGCTGAGGCACAGAAAGGGTCAGCCCTTCGCCCAGTGCGGGTCGGCTGGCAGGTGGTCGAGCCTGGATTCGAACCCAGGCCCACGAGCTCGGGAGCATCACTGTCCAGTAGGCAGCCACGTGTGTCGTGGTCAATTTTCTAGTAGCTACATTTTTAAAAGTAAAAAAAAAAAAAGTGAAATTTATCTTATTTAATCCAACATATCCACCTGTTACCATTTCACTTGCAGTCGGTACGGAAAGTTGGTCACAAGATACCACACGTTTTTTCCTGCGCACCGAGTCACTGAAACCCGGTGCGTGCTGACGTGCACGGCGCACCCTGTGCGGACCGGCCGCCGTGCGTCGTGGCCAGTGGCCGCTATGCCGGCCCGCGCAGGCCTGGAGCCCGAGGCCGGGAGGCCGGCCAGGGAGCGTCTCCCGTGGGTCTCCCTCCCAGGGTGTCGGTTTGCCTCTCCGTTAGGTAGGGGTGGTCTAGACGAACTCCCACGAGCCCTAAAGTGGATGATGATTGAGCGAGTTATTTCTTGAGTGGTTTTTATCTGTGAGCTGAATAGGAATCTTGGCTCTATTAAAAACTTGTTGCCACAGCAAAATGACCCCTTTTCCTTTTCATACTTCACAAGAGGCCTGACCCACTTCCCGGGGAGCAACCTGAGTCCGGCCTGCTCGGCTCTCAGCCCCCCCCCCGCCCCCGGCCGCGGAGAGAAAGACTCGATGTGGGTCACTGGGCACTGGGAGTCCACAGGCTGACTCAGCAGCCGCCCTGGTTTTCCTACGGCCGGCTTTAAACAATACTGGTCAGACGCCATGACATGCAGTATCCAATTACCCTTTGCTCCCACAAAATCCCCTTTTTTCCCCTTAAGTGTCGCAGGTGTCCTGGGTACGATAAAGTCGAGATAGGATGAGGGGAAGCAAGGCGAAAGAAGTGGCTGCAGGCGGACATCCTGCCCGCGGTTGCGAGGACGCGAGGACCCGAGAGAGGAAACCCCGGTGCTGAGTCATCGCTGGCGCGGGGGGGGGGGGGGGGGCCACGTTCCTGCTGGCCTGGCTGTGTGCTCGGCCAGCTGCTGACATGTGCTTTCTTGACTTTGGAGGCTAATCATTAAAAGCATGTGGAAGGACTTTCCCTGTAGGACCCATACAGACTTTTAAGCTGACATTTTGATAGAGGTTTACATTCCCCTTGGATTAACACAGCACTCATCACCGCAAATTTCTTCGGGGGAGGGGAGATTAGTACACCAGGCACAGTGGAATCAGCGCTTCTCCGTTGCCTTTCGAGGGTTCTTCAAACCGGGTTTGGGCTGGACTGGATGGGGTTTCTCGGTGTCCCAGTTTTGGCTGGGCTTCGAGCACGACAGGGAGCGGCTTGGTCTGAAGCGGTGCCGGAGGGACGTCCCGAGTGGGGGGGCAGGGCCTGGGGACGGCGATTCTTGCGACGGTGGGGGGGGGCCAGACTCTGGGGAGCGGGGAGAGGGAGTCCTGAAGTGCAGGCACACGTGGTGACAGCTGTCCAGCCTGTCCTCGACAGGCTTGTGAGGGGAAGAAGAAGTAGGTCCCCGGGGGAGGAGTGGGGCTGGCTCGGGGTTTCTTTCCAGGCAGAGAGGCTTGTGCACAGGAGGAAGAATAGCTAAGGCCCGGGTGGGGCGGTGGGGGTGGGTGTGGAAGCAGGTTGCAGGTGAAGTTCATTGCCACTAGAAGGATTTTGAGGCTCTCAGGAGCAGGGAGGGGAGGTAGCTGTGAGCCAGGTGCTAACCAGGAGAAGGGGGTGGGGGAGGGGTTCATTGGGGGATAGTGGGGCCAGAACGAGAAGGAGGGCAGAGGAGCCTGAGAATGCTGAGCCCACGCGTGCGGGTCCGGAGTTGGCGGCTGTGGGGGAGAGGAAGGGGCCCGCTGCCTCCAACAGGAAGGCTGTGAGGGCACGTGTGTCCGGGGGCCCAGGGGAGGCAGAGAGGGAGGGAGAGGTCTTGAACGTGCAGGTACGGGAGGAGGAAGGAAGAGATGGGATGATGGAGGGTCAGGTGGCTGCGCCACCACGTACGTCTTCGAAGGCCATCGTTCACTCTACGTATTTTAAAGCTGGGTGCCATTCCCACTTCTTAACAACAGCCTCACTGAGACACAGTGCTGCCATCATCCATTCCACCCATGATAAGTGTGTGGTTGAGTGATTTCTAGTAAATTCATACAGTGATGCAGGCATCTAGGACACCCCCATCATTCTGGAAAGTTCCCTCGCGCCCATGTGCAGTCAGTCCCTGTTTCTTCCCAGCCCCATGGAACCACGGATCTGCTCCCTGTGTATCGTTTTGCTTTCTCTGGAAATGTCACATAAATGGAACCAGACGATATGTCATCTTTCGTGTCTGGCTTCTTTCACTTAGCACAGTGATTTTCAACCTTTTTCAACTCACGGCACACATAAACTGATTGCTAAAATTCTGCAGCACACCTAAAAATTTATTTTTTGCCTATATGACAAAAATAGGTATAATTTTGACTCATTCACACCAAACTGCTATTGTTGTGTTGGCTGTTGTTATTTTTTAATTTCACAATCTCAGGGAAAAGAGGTCAGTGCCCCTGACCAAATAGTCAGGTATTGCATGCTTTAAAAATTCCTGTAGCGCAACGACTGAAAATGATGGACTTGGCATGTGTTTTTGAGGTTAATCCGTGTGGTTGCAAAGTATCACTTCTGTATTTCAAAAAAGAACCTGGCACTTTTGAAGAGGTGCCCAGTGGGGAGAGATCAGGTTGGAGGGCGGAACAGGGCTAAGTTGGGGGAAGCGGCCAGTGGTGGGGTGGGGGGGGTCCGTGCACTGGCCAGACACAGCGCAGGGTCACGAAAGACTGTGGGCCCTGGGCTTGCAGAGACCTCAGGCGTCATTCCTGCTCCTCCCTGACCTGGCAGCCCTGCACAGCCTGGCCCCGGCCTCACCTTGCCGGTGCTCAGAGCGTACACCGTTGGGTGAGCGGACTGTGAGAACCCCTTCTCGGCACCTTCCTGGCTGGAAAGTGGACCCCCCAGCCCTTCACAGTGCCTGAGACCAGAGCACTCTGTTTTGGCCTTTGGCCTTTGCTCCAAGCAGGTTGACCTTATTAGCTGGTGGCCGGCCAGAGCGGGAGGGAGTTGGGAGCAGGCAGCCTGCAGCAGGAGATCGCGGGATGCACTGGCAAGCCCGTCAGAGCTGACCTCCGTGCTGAGCCAGGCAGTCTCAGCTCAGCAGTCCGGAGGGCGCAGTCTTGCTCAACACCCACCTCTCCAGTGTTGCCTCACATGGCCTTTCTGTTTCTAAGAAGGAAAAATCATTTAGGTCAGAAGTGTTCCAGGGAAGTGAGTCAAGTAGTCTTCAACAGCATTTCCGAATTATTTTACTCGGGTGAACCATACTTTTATTTCTTTTGAGTGCCAGTAAAGACTCCGCCCTCCGCCCCGAGTCGGAGCTGTTTCCAGCAGGGTTCGGTCCCTGCCGGGATCTCACTTTGGGTGTGCCGCTGACGTGCGTGGTTGGGCCGAGCTCTGCTGCGGTCTGAAGCCCACTGGGGCCCCTTGGGCGGGGCTCCCGGGCAGATCCGTGTCAGACGCTGCCTGTAACTGACCTTGGCCTGCCTGTCTGGAGCCGTCACACAACCAGCCGGCCGTGCCTGCCTCCGCGGGCCTGGCCATGCGTGGCTGGGTTGTCCAGTGACCTCTGTGCAAACCTTTACCTTCCTGCCCGGGTGATTACCTTGTTGAGGTGCAAGAGTTCTTTGCATATGCTGGGTGCAAGCCCTATTAGAGAGCGTTTTGCAAATATTTTCTCGTACTCTCTTGTCATTTCATTTTCTTAACAGTGTCTTTGAACTGCTAAAAGTTTACACTTTGATGACATTCAGTGTATCATGTTTTTCTTTTGTAGACTGTGCTTCTGGTGTCAGACCTGTGACATCTCCGCAGTTGTAGCTCCAGGGCCTGGACTTTGTTATCTCCCAGAAGTTTTTTCTGGCCCTTTCGTTTAAGTCTGTGATCCATTCTGAGTTAGCTTCTGTGTGAAATGAGGGCCCGAGTTTATGCTTTGCCTGTGGATGTCCAAGTTGTCCCAGCACCATTTATGGAAAGCCTGCATTTTTTCCCCAGAGTAGTTTTGGAATCAGAAAGTGAAAGTCCTCCAACTTTGTTCTTCTCTTTCAAAATTTGTCCAGTCGACATCTTTTGCAATTTTATATAAATTTTAGGATCATCCTGTCAGTTTCTGTAAAACCCTGCTGATCATTTAAAAAATTTTAATGGTATCAAGTCTCTGGTCTGTGACCGTGAGATGTCTCTCCGTCCAGCCAGATCTTCCTTAATCCCCTTCAGCGGAATTTTGTCATTTTATCATTCAGTGTGGGCGTCTTGCATTTCTTCTATTGGACTTCTTCCTAAGCTTTTGGTTTTGATTTTTAATGACCCTGCTCTCTGACAGGAGTAACCAGTACTAGGGGGATTTGCACTGAGGTGGGTTGGTGGGTGTGCCTGCTCCCTCCTGCTGTCCTCACAGGCCTCGGTCAAATCTGACGTAACACTGATTTTCTCTCAAAGGCCCTTGCCACCTGTGGATGCGGTGGTTGGGGCAGGGGTGGTGTGAAGTCCACATGTATATTAACTGCGTAAAGAATAAGAGCTTGGGGGGGGATTTTTAAAAAGTTAGTGCAAAAATATAAATGTGTATGTCTTGAAATAATATAAAGACCTGACCGATGGGCAGTGACTCCCAGCCTGCCTTCCATGAGAAAGAGCCTGTCGCTCATTAGAACTCCAGAACCGGCCTCCTCCCGGGCCACCCCTGTCTAACACCCTCCGGGATCGTTTCTCCCAGGCGGACGCGTGCCACGCCTACCAGATCGTGCACCGCAATGGCATTCCCGACGAGCAGATCATTGTGATGATGTACGACGACATCGCCAACGCGGAAGAGTAAGTGCAGGTGCCTTCCCAGGCGGCAAAGAACTCCGGGGCGTCTGTTTTAAATGCATAGGGACTCACGGGATCCTTAGAGGAGTGGCCTGACATTAGAACGGAGACAGACTCACCAGTGAGATCTCACAGGGCTGCTCCCTGTGGAGCTGCGGGCGGGCGGAACTCGGGCACCAGGCAGGTGGCAGGGCCACGGGCCACGGGCCGAAGCGGGTGTGGGGCTGGGGCTTCGGAAGCGCTGAGAGCGCAGTGGGAAGCTGCCTCTCAGCCCGGGGAGCTCGTCGTCGGGTTCTGCAGTGCGTGCTTCTCCGCGCTTCCGAGCGGGCGGGCATCGTGGAGGGGGCCTCTCCGCAGCCCAACGTGGGAGGCTCGTTTGTAGGTTGGATCCCACCCCCTTCATATTACCTGTTCGCTTTTATTGTTCGCTGAGTTTAATTTTGCAAATAGTTTCTCACGCCTGCCCACCTGATTCCCAGAGGAGATCGGGAACGGCAGGTATGGGTGGGAAACCTCACCAGCCTGGGTCTCCCCAGCCCCTTGGCAAACCCCCTCCCCCCCCCCCCCCCCGCTGGGCGGAGGCTGCCGCCCTTTGCCAAAGTCACGACACAGCTCACAATCCATTCTGAGCTTTAACGTCTAAACTCTTACACTGAAGTCTTGTCTCCCACCCTGTCTTTTGCTACAAGTGCTTTTGCTCTGAGATCTCTTGGTGAGATCTGGCCCCTGAGATGCCGTGTGGCTTCCGGCGGGAGGCTGGCACCCTTGGGTGGCTGTCCCTGCCCTGGGTGCTAGAGCTCGGCCTTCGCTGCTCCTGCCAAGCGCTGGACTGGCGGGATGGCCGGGACCCCCAGGCCGCTAAGACCCATCACACTTGGAGATGTACCGCGAGGGCAGCAGCGTCCTCGACGAACACAGCGGTTACCGTGTTCGTGTCCGACGGGGCCTCAGCTGTGTCCTTCGTTTTCAGCAACCCCACGCCGGGAGTGGTGATCAACAGGCCCAACGGCTCGGACGTGTACGCGGGCGTCCTGAAGGACTACACCGGGGAGGTGAGGCAGCGGCGGGCTCTGCTCTTCTCTGTGGCGCTTTCCGTGCTTGGGGCGTTTCTAGCACCAGAACCTCACTGGGCTGACCTCCGGTCAGGGTTGCACGTTTGCTTTAAGATTTGCGCTTGAGGAGTAGTTTTGGAGAGTTTTGATGGAAAGCAGAGAGGGGGAGAAAAGAAGGTTAGAAGTAAGCTGTGGTCGACCAGCCTTCAGTTTCCAGTCTTCCGACACGTTCAGCCTGATAATACCTTCCCTTTGACCACACTGGCATCGCGGTTTACCTGACTCCAGGTCCTCTGTGCTCTTCCGACAATCCGTTTTCTCAGCTCCAGCCCCCTGCAAAGCATCTTCAGATTTTGCTGAGATAGGTTTTCGTTAATTACTGTTGTCTTATATCACTTCCAAACTATTACATCTTTCCCAGCGGCTGAGGCTGGCTGAGGCTGTATAAACTGACACATTGTTACAAATACTACGATGGCTCCAGATGGCTCCAGCCTCACAGTTTCACAGTCTCTTTTTCTTAACATCAGACGGATATTTTAGGAACGAATATCCCTGGTGATGAACGTTCCTCTGAATTTTAGCAGTTCTTCTAGTTCCACTTTTCTCCTTTAAACTCAAGCACAGTTAAAGCGAACACATCATACATGTAATATAGATGATCCCATCTTCATGGAATTATCTCTGTGGAGTTATACAGAGTGGGGCAAAAGTAGGTTTACACTTGGCTTGTACGGCCTGCTTCTGCCTCACCCTGTGTAAGGCAATGTCTGGAATCTGAGTGGTGCGATTTTGGTGACTTCCTTTTTCTTTTGTGCTTTTCCGTATTGCTATTTTTTTTAATGAGCGGGGTATTGCTATTTTTTTTTTTTTTTAATGAGTGGGGATTAGTTTAGGAAATCTCCTTTAAGGACACGGGATGTTCTCTGAGTCAGCGGTTTAGGCAGCCAGCTGGATGCGAGGGGCGGGCCCAGCATTAACGTTCCTGCTGCCTCTTCGCTGTCCCCCCGAGGGGGACGCTGTTCGTCCGCCACCGTCCCGGCTGACCAGCATCTTCGGGTTCCCCCACATGACTTCACGGTGGCCCAGGAGGGATGGCGGGCTTGCTGAGTGCCATCAGCCGCGGACCGAGTGCCGTTTGAGAAGAGGTGGGGGACACGCCCCCGAAACATCGATCTTGACTGGGGCCCATCTTGGTTCCAGAGTGTTTGCTCTCCAGCCCCGGGCCTCAGAGCCCTGTGCAGCCGGTGGCCCGGGCCTGCCGCAGGCTCAGCAAATGCTCTGACCGGGAACGGCCCGTCTGATTGCGATTCCCAATCGTTTGCAGGATGTCACACCGGAAAACTTCCTTGCTGTGCTGAGAGGTGATGCAGAAGCAGTGAAGGGCAAAGGGTCTGGGAAGGTCTTGAAGAGGTAATGTCCGCTTGCTCCGTGGGGTTCACACTTCTCTGCATGACCTGGCAGCCAGGACAGAGTTGCTCTGGGCTCCCAGCCTGTTCACCCGGGAGAAGCGGCAGAGAGGGGCCTTTGTCCTGACCGAGGACAGGCTGCACAGGGTGGGTGGCTTCCTTTGGCAGCCCGTCCCTGTGCCACATTAGCCCTGTGATCCAGGATTCCTCCTCGTCCTCAGTGAAACGTCCCCCACCCCTCACGCCTGCTGCATTCTGTTGCCCGTGGGTTCTAGTGCTGGCACACTGCACGTCCTACCGGTGGCGAAGCCCCGAGGCTGGTCAGGTTGCAGGGCCAGGCCTGCGCCCCGATCACGGGTCTGCGCGTGGGGAGGAGCACACTGCACGTGCAGGGGACGACTGACCCAGTGCTCGCCCCGCCGGCTGGGGGTCAGAGAGGGCTTCCTGCTTGGCACCTCTTCTGTAGCACTTCCTGTGACGTCAGGGTCTCTAGTGGCATGGCTTCAGGGAGTCTCAGGTGCCTGACCAGTGGGGCTGTGGCTCTTACACTAGAGGGGACACCTGGGCACAGGTAGGCTTGTGTGACGGGCTGATGCGTGTGTGGGATAGACTATTCTGGTCCTGAGTGAGTTTCTGCGTCGCTGCAGCCTCGAAGCAGCGCCTTCGGAGTGGGAGCCCCGGTGGGGGTGGGCAGGTGGGTGTCCCAGATGGCGCCGGCCTAGGGGCCCGGAGGCCCGCCTGGAGCTGCAGGACATGTTTGGGAGTGTGTCCTGGCCCCCTTACTCATTTGGGGGAGATCTGATTGGGAGCGTGGCTGCCTGGGATGAGGCCCAGTTGCCAAAGGACGCTGCTTTCCAGACCACACCTGGTCTGTCCGCCGAGCTCCCCAGCGTGGGAGTGCTCCGTGCCGGCCGTGGCTCAGAGCCCACGGCGCTGGGGTGTGCCTCGCGGCTCAGAGCGACTTCATCCCTGGTTGGGGGACTGGACTCCCCAGACGTCCTGGTTGCTTGGCCAGGGCGACTTCTCAGAGACACAGAAGCAGGAGTGGGAAACGGCCGCCCTGACTCTCGTGTGTCTGCTCTCTCGGCAGCGGCCCCCGGGACCACGTGTTTGTTTACTTCACGGACCACGGGGCCACGGGACTGCTGGCCTTTCCCAACGACGACGTGAGTGTTCCGTAGCGTTTCACGGGCAACAGCTAAAATGGAGGACAAAGCTGGGGTGCGGCGTCACCCTGCGAGGTGGGCGTCTCACGCCCTGGCAGCAGCTCGGAATGTCTCCAGAGGCCCCCCCTGGCCGGTTGCCCCCCGTTTCTGTCCCTGTCCCAGCACCAGGGGCCGTGGCAGGACTTGGGAGCGTGGCACGAGGCCCAGTAATGTAGGCCACTGTCCCCGAATGCTCTGGGCGGAGGAAGGGGCGAGGAGGCACGTTCGCCTGCCCGTCATAAATCCACGAGTGAGGCCCTCGGGGCGGCGTTCCGGGAGGATGCCGCGCTGCACGCCGCGCGTGTCTCCGGGGGCGGGAGCGTCGCTGGGACTCCGTTGTGGGTTTTCCAGCAAATGGTTTCTCTCGCGGTCCTCATCTGGATCTCGGGGTTCTCACCTTTCAGCTTCACGTGAAGGACCTGAACCAGACCATCCAGTACATGCACAAGCACAAGAAGTACCAAAGGGTAACGCACGTGTGGGGTGCCCGTGGGGGGCGGAGTGTGAGGGGGGCAGCGGGAGCAGAGCCCACGGCTCCGCGGCTGCTGTGTTTCCTGGAGAGGGTGCCTTTCGCTCAGTCTGGTTTCCCAGGGTGGACCTTTTCTGATTCTAGGGCCTTAGCTAGTGGATCGGAATCACCGGGGGTTTTGTTGCAATGAAGAGCGTGGGTCCCCGCCTCCCAAGTTTGACTCAGAGATCTGGGGCGGGGCCTGAGAACTCGCCTTTCCAAGGTGGCACTGACGCCACTGGTGTAGGGACCCTACTTTGAGGACCCCTGTTCGTAGGGCTGTCACCCGTTCGGGGCAGACAGAGAGGAAAATGTCACCACCTTATTTTCACTTGGGCTCTCGCTCGCTGTGTGGCTCCCCTTACGGAGACGGAGTAGCTCTGGCACGGACGCGACGGAGACTCGGAAAGCGGGCCTGCCGCGCCGTCTCCCTGTGCTGGCCGGTGAGACGGCCCCCACAGCATCTCGGTGGCCCCGTGCGCTCTGCACTGTTTCAGCTAACAGATCGTTTGTAGCAATGAGTGAATTCCAGCCCCAGTCTGTGTGACAACAGCCTCTGTCGCCTCTGGCGGCAGCCCCTCACAGCGGAGATGTCTCCCAAAGCAACAGCGAGGGCCTCTGAGAGTGGGTGGGGCGAGTGGGCGGGGCCGAAGTGACGTGGGGAGGGGTCTGCTGGCCGAGGTGTGAGGGCGCCCGTCCCGTTCCCCTGCAGATGGTGTTCTACATCGAGGCCTGTGAGTCCGGGTCCATGATGAAGCACCTGCCCACCGACATCAACGGTAGGTGCGGGGAGCCCCGGCCTCCGGGCCTGGCTGGGTGGGTGCGGTGCTCGCGGGTGCGGTTGGTCTCGGATTCTGCCGGCGTGGAGAACCAAACACTCGGCATGAGCAGGCACCCAGGGCAGCCTGGCACACAGAAGCGGGGTGGGCAGCTCTGGGCTTCCTCTGTGCCCCGAGGACCAGTGGCCAGAGCAGAAGGAATCTGCATGGAAGTTTCCATCTGCGGTGCTCACCCAGCTTCTAGTAAAGCCCCTTAGGCCCAAAATCACAGTCTTTGGACCGGCCTGTCCTTTGCGACGGGGTACTTGCTGGCTTTGATCTCGGACATGTAATTTACCCTTTTCCACCCTCAGATGTTCCCACCTGTAACATGGGTATAAAGGTAGTACCTATTTGTTTGTTCATCGTTTTAGGCTATAACATTTGTCGAGCACAGTTCCGAGCCCATGGTAGATAGGGAGTAAGTGGTTGCTATTGCACAGGTTCAGCCCATCTGTTTCTTCAATAAGTGTTAACTTTCTCCAGAAACTAGATTAGGAATATATTCTTCAAGTCGCCAGAGCTGTCAAAACCTTGCAGCGTTGCTCTAGAACAGCGTCGGGTCCTAACGAGCATGCGTGCCTGCTCGCTGCTGCACAGAGTGTCTGTCCACTGGCTTCTCTCCCTTCCACGTGTCCTTTTAGTCGCAGCTCCGTGACTGAAGGAACGGTGCTGGGGACCTCCATGTCTCCCCACTCCCTGCGTAGACTCTGGGGGCCACTCCATTTGCAGCGGGAAGGAGGCCAAGGCTCAAGCTGCAAGTGGCACCCGCAGCACAGAACACCACGTGGCTAACGGGTGTCTCTGGTTCCTCATAGTGTATGCGACCACTGCTGCCAACCCCGACGAGTCCTCCTACGCCTGTTACTACGACGAGGCGAGGTCCACCTACCTGGGCGACTGGTACAGCGTCAACTGGATGGAGGACTCGGACGTGGTGAGCCCTTCAGGGGGCCGGCTGTTCAGCTGAGGTTTGCATTCCGGCTCTGACGGCTGGAGGACTTCACTGTTCACACTTTTGCAGGAGGACTTGACCAAAGAGACTCTCCACAAGCAATACCAGCTCGTGAAATCCCACACCAACACCAGCCACGTCATGCAGTACGGAAACAAGGTGAGGGGGGGGGCCTCACCTCTGGCTCGGTGCCCTGTCCTGGTGAAGAGCAGCAGGGGCTGGGTGTGAGCTGGCCAGCCAGCGACGGCTCTGCCACTCACTGCCTGGGGACCCTGTCTGCGTTTTGGAGTCAGACCTTGCTAAGTTCAAACTCGCAGTCATCAGACTTTGGGCAAGCTGCATAACCTCTGAGTCTCCATTTCCTCCTCGGTCAGAGCCCCCATGCACAAGGTAATCAGGGGCATGAAAGATGGTTGTGCATCAAAAGCACTAAACATAGGCCGGATGCACAGCGAAAAGCCGCCCCGACTTCCATGCCATGACCCCCTGGAGCCCCACGCCTGGATCGTCTGGGCCCTGCCTCCCTCTGCAGCAGCAGGGTGCTGCCTTTACCCTTTGACTGTAAATTGGAGACTTTTCTCATTCTAACTCGGTCCAGAAGGGACCTGTGTAGTTAAATAGGCATGTTCATCAGGGCTGTCTGGGCAAGGCCGCGGCAGGTGGCTGGAGGCTTAGGCCTTAGGTGGCCCGGCTGTGGCTGTAGCTCTGTGCATCCCGATGGATCCAGACCCCAGCTGTCACCTGGACAGATGCTTTGCACCTTCCTGCTGCTGGGCACTAGGGACAGGAGGTGAGCGTGGAGGGTGAGCACAGCCCAGGGTCCCCACTGGCTGACATGACTCTGGCCCATCCCCTGCGTGACGTGGAGGAGAGAGTGCCTTTCCCAGACGAAAGAACAGCAGGTCTCCTGCAGTGGGTGCCGGGCAGAGCTGCAGCCCGTCGCTGGTGGACCTCAGGTGCTTGGACGCGCTGCCCCGCCCACTGCTGCCGCACGTCCTTTCAGACTGCGCTGTGGCCTGAGACCACGCGGAGCCAACCGTGGGCCCCAGGCCCCGGGCACGGTTGGCACGTCTGCTCTTCCCGCCCCAGCGGGCTTCTTCCTCTCCGTCTCCCCCACCCCCAGTCGATCTCGACCATGAAGCTGATGCAGTTCCAGGGGATGAAACACGCCGCCAGCTCTCCTATCTTGCTGCCTCCAGTCCAGCGCCTCGACCTCACTCCCAGCCCCGAGGTGCCCCTCATGATCATGAAGAGGAAGCTGATGGCCACCAACGACCTGCAGGAGTCCAGGCGTCTCGTCGAGGCAATCCACAGGCACCTGGAGGTCAGTCCCGGGACAGGGGCCGCTCCGGCCTTGCGCTCCAGCCTTGCTCGGTCCGTGCCACCGGAACGAGACCCAGGGCTGCTCGGGCGGGGGGCTAGACCTCTGGGGTCGCACCTCCTCCTGCCACCAAGTGTGTGGGAAAGGACGCTGGCCTTGGTTTCCGTGTGAGCAGGAGCCCAGAGGCAGAAGAGAGCTTGTCTTTGTTCTTCATCAGCGAGCTGGCCTTGGCCTCTGTGCTGGCCCGGAGCAGGGGGTTCGTTCCCAGTGTCCTCCTGAGCGGCCACAGCGTGTGGGCATTTTTTGGTTTTGTTTTCCTTTATACCCAGTTGCTTTGAGGACATTTTTATCTTGCTGCTTGGTGTGTTGTTAGGTAGTCCTGTGTTTTTTTATTTTTATTTTTTTTTAAGTCCAATCTACAAAACATTTCTACGGCCTAAGGAAACCCTAGTCAGAGCCTTTAATTCTTTTTAGCACGTTTGGGTTGGCATTCATGATTACTGGGTTTGTTTTCTGTCGCACCTCGGTTTGCTTGGGACTGGCAGGGTTACTTGTCATATCACAGGGCTGCGGCCAGAACCCCCGGACATGCACCCTCTGGGGCACTGGGCACAAGGCGGCTGCCCCTCCCTGCAGAGCTGGCTCTGCGTGACCTCCCTCCCCGGTCAGCATGGCCCAGGGGCTGACGTGCTGGAGCGTGGCCGTAATCTTCCTGGGGAAGATAAAAATGGGTTTTAAATTCATATACAGGGGCGGGGCAAAAGTAGGTTCACAGTCGTGAGTATGCAAGATAGTGTTTATATTCTTACGTTATCACTTATTAATGGTCGTGGCACTTAGCGCAGGAGCCGCTGTAACCCGCTTTTCCACACCCTGCAGCCAGGGTCCCGGCAGCTGGTCCCTCCAGCCGCGGCGGCTCATTTCCCAGGACAGACGTTGTGTCGGTGCCACGGTGTGAGCTGGCGGTTCTTCCACTTTTCTGGTCTTAGTTTATTCGTCCTGAAGAGCAGATGTTTATGCGGGTCACATCAGTATTTCCTGTATTAGAGATAAACACCGAGATTTGAAAAACACTAACTCATTTAGAGAGGACAGTAATAAGCCCATTTTGTGTTTGTGTATTTTGTATGAAAAATAACCATTTCCTGAAAAACAGTTTTGGCGAGAAGAGTGGAAGTACTTTACATTTTTGCAAATGTCTCTTCTGCCCAGTGTAGTGGAACCAGCTGGGCCCTTGTACTTGCCGCTGCCCTCACTCTGCTGGGCTCTTCCGGCTGCAGTACGGGAGGAAAACCCAGCCTCGCGCAGTTATGTCACTGGAAAAGGCGGGATCTCACGGAGCCCCGCGGGGTCTGGGTTCCCCCGCGGGTCTGGCCTTATGCGTGGAGAGCCGCTGGTCCGGCACACGGTGGGCGCACGGCCTTTGTGGCTTTCCGGCCTGGGGGAGGCGTGGCCAGAGGCCTTGGTTGTGGATTCTGGCTCGTGAGGCGGCAGCGTCCTCCGAATGATGCTGGTTTTCTTCACTGGGTGGAACACAGGGTCCGCATTGGTGTCCCTCTGTGTGACCGTTTGATGGTTTCCGGAACGGGCAAAGGTGCAACAATCGATTTGGGGTGTGATGTCTATGTCTCCCCCTTTACTCAGAGTGGGCCATGCATGCCTGCTCTCCAGGTATTTGGGTGTCGACCTTTCCGTCCTGCCAGGAGACCCCTAGGGGACACAGCACAGCGAAAGGTTTCCGGCCGTCGCGGGCACCCGCGTCATGCCTTCTGCCGTCGGCGGAGCGGGTGTGCAGGCAGCTGGTCCAGCGCGCCGGGTGGGGCTGGGGCTGAGCGAAGAGAAGAGAGGCTTCGTTAGGTGGGACGCGTCCTGACAAGGCGTGCTCCTCCCCAGAGCAGGAACGTCATCGAGAAGTCGGTGCGGAAGATCGTGTACCTGGTCACGGGGTCCGATGACGAGGTGGAGAGGCTCCTGTCCCAGAGAGCCGAGCTCACGGCGCACGACTGCTACAAGGCCGCGGTGACGCACTTCCGCATGCACTGCTTCAACTGGCACTCCTCCACGGTGAGCCCCACCTGCCCGGCCGCACCCGGGCTCCCGTGGGCCGCCAGCCTCCCCTTCCTCTTCAACCCAGAAGCTCAGTTAATACTGTCCCCTGGACGTCCATCGGGCCCATTAGCTTGTGGAAGGCGCCACCCAGGCTAAGGGGGCAACAGGCTCGCTCAGAGAGGAAGGATGCTGTCCCAGCTCGCTGACCATAAATCCGGGCCCTAGACACTATTCCTCGTCCCCGTGGATGGGAGCTGACAGTCACAGCCGCCACAGCCCTCGTTCCCTCCACACTGCTGCTGGCCCCGCCCCACCCCTGCTCCCCAGCCCCACGGGTTTTTCTCCCTCTCTGGTCTGGCCTGACTCCACCCGAGGTTTACTGCTGAAGTCAGGCCCTGGCCTGTGCAGATAGGGGAGGCACCGACTGCGTGCAGACTGCAGGGTGTCAGGGCTGGAAGGTCCCTGCACAGCCCCCTCCCTGGTCAGTGCCGCGCGATGCCTCTAGGGGAGCCGTCAGCCAGCCGTGATCTGCAGGTCCCAGCATCCCCAGCTATTTGGTCTCAACCTGCTATGATCAGTTTGACGTTCACTTACCACCCATCCCCCTCATCAGTGTGCCCTCCCCGAGTGAGGTTTCCAGCAGCAAAGCCAGACAGCCAGGTCAGGGGCCAGAGGGGAGCGGAGCCACGAGGGTTCTCAACCAGGACCCCCAGTCTGGGTCCGACTCTCAGCGGCCTGCCAGCCGGGGCGCACAGGGCGCTTTAGGGGCAGATGGTTCATAAATCCGACCGGATTATCAGAAGGTGGGGAGGGACTCCGTGACCCCAAAGGTCAAGAAGGACTGTTCAAGGCACCTCACGCCTGTGACCACAGAAGTGGGCCGCGCCCAAGTTAAGAGGCCATCATGTGGTGAGACGATGCCGTTGATTGTGTCTTGTGGTCTGTGTCCCTCCAGTACGAGTACGCTCTGCGACACCTGTATGTGCTGGCCAACCTCTGCGAGGTGCCTCATCCTGTCGACAGGTCAGTCAGCGCGGGCGGGGTCAGGGTCAGGGTCAGGGTCGGGGCCGCCCTGCAAGCATCAGGGGGCAGCAGCTCTCCGTGTCTGCCAGCGGGCCGCCTCTCCCTGTGGGCGGATGAGGGGGAGGTACATTCCCAGAGCTGATCGTGACGGGGGTCTGTCATAAGTGACAGCCGCCTGTCCCACGTGAGGTGACACCTGTCTCCGTTTCTTCGGGGGTGTGTGGCTCACAACCGCTTCCTGTTCCTTACAGAATAAAGTTGGCCATGGACCAGGTGTGCCTGGGCTACTACTGAGCTGCCGCCTTCCTGCCGCTCTTCCACCTGTGAGCACCGTCCCTGAGCGCGTGTGCCACCGGGAGTGGGTGGAGTGCGAGGGGGCCGGCTGCACTCCGGGCGCTCCCTGCCTCCCGGTCTTCGGGTCTCTGGGTCTCCTGGTCCCCCGCGCAGCGCGCCGGAAAGCTGCGGACTCGCTGGGCACAGCCCCGTGCTAGGAGAGACCTCTCTGCTTCTGGGGAAGCTGTTCTGCTTGTTTTCAGGAACAGGGAGTTCCCCTGGGCCTCTCCGGCCAGTGAAAGAACCCCCCTCCACCCCGTGCGGAGGAATTTGAAGCTGGCGCCTCTTTAAGTCTTCAAAGTGATTTCGTTGAAGGGCGATGGGAGCCCCAAATGGAAATCTGTTGTTAGAAAATAATACGTTTTGATTGCTTTTATGTTCTATTCCTCAGTAATGAGCACGTCTTGAAAAATAACGATTGTGACTGAACCGGTGTCTTAATTTCGGGCGTTGACTAGGCAGTGTCTGCCCCTGGCCTCCCCTCCCCTCCCCCCTGCCCGCCCCTCTGCGTCTGCCCCCTGCTCCTGGGACCGCCCAGCCTCCCTGTCTTGGCTTCCTGGTCTCCCTCTCGCCCGCCCCGCAGGGCCTTGCCCTCCATCTGACGGATCCTCAAGGTGTGTCTGGAAGTGCTGCTTCTCCCCGGAACCTTCTCCAGCTTCCTCCTCCCCCCCGCCAAAAGTCTGCCCCCCCCCCGCACTGTCTTTGCATCTCAACAGCGGGGTCAGGGACGCCCCCTACACCAGGGGTAGGGCCTGTGGAGAGGGCCTAAAATCGATTGTTGTGATGATTGTAGAACTCTTCAGTGGACGAAAACCCATCAGATTGTACATGCTAAGTGGAAGTTACGTGGTTTGTTCATTATACTTCAGTAAAGCTGTTTTTCAAACCATGGCATATACCCTTGACCGGTGTGGCGGCTCGGTTGGCAGGGCGTCGTCCCCCAAAGCAGAAGGTCTCAGGTTTGATTCCTGGTCGGGGCACGTGCCTGGGTTGCAGGTTCAGTCCCTGGTTGTACACTCTTTACAAAATAACAGTAAGCCATAATACAGCTGGCTGTCTAGATCGCTAGAGAAAAATCAAAGAAAAGGGAACACCAACTAACTCATCCTCATAACCTCCTGTCTTCCTACTGTGAAACCTGTCTTAACTTGACGGTGACTGGGGCTGTGAAGTTTGAATGGAAGGTGCGGTGCTGGCAAGTAGGCCTGTCTGACAAGTTCAAGGGCGATACTTGGTGTCACATGGGCCAGTTTTTTATCAGCGCAAACCTCCTTTCTCAGTGAGGGCCTCGCAGGGCTCATCAAATGCCTTCAGGATAAAAGACTCTTACCGCCCTACGTACGGATTTGGGTCCAGGGTTCTAAGTAACAAGCGCAAGGTTTTCCGCCCGTGTTTACCACTGATGCTCAGCGTTCGCAGTCCCCAGGGCCTGCTGATGGTGTTCAGAGAAATGCAAATAATGAAAAGTAGCATTTTTACAGGGTGTGTCCTCAAAGGCCTCATGATACGGGTGGTGAAAGCTCTGTGTTTTCTGGAACTGTTAACCATCCTGTCGCCCTTGCTTCCCGACTCGTCCTCCCCGTGGGAAAAAGCGTCCTTCTGCCCGGGTGACAACTACAGGAGCCTGCGTGTCCGTGGCTGGAGAGGGCAAAGCAACTGTGCAGCGTTTTCCGAATAAACGACCGTGTCCTAGTCACAGTGCCTTGGCGTTTTCTCTCCCATGGCTCACAGGGTCCTGGCAGAAGTGGGCTCTTGTACAAAGCCATTTTCTACTGGGTTTCCAATTCGGCTGACTTTCCTAGGTGTGTCACGTGCGTTTTTCCCCCTAATTGTATCCAGAATGTACAAACTCGCTCTCTGGCACTTGAGGTGCAGAACACAGAAACACCCAGAGAAAAACAGGGCTGTCCCCCTCCCCCCAGAAATCTCTGCCACAATTTGGTGTTCATCCTTGGAGTTCCCCTGTCTACCTGTTTGCATACCTACGCACAAGGTATCCTGTATTTTTACCTTTTCATTATAAAATAAAATAAAAAAACATACAGAACAAGGGTATGGTTTAGTGAACTGTAAGGAGAACATCCTCGTAACTGCCACTCGGGGCGAGAAAGAGAACCCAACCCGCTGTGCCGGTCGAGACTCGCCAGAGGAACGGACCCCACAGGGCACGTACACTGTACGCACCTACAGAGGGGCTCAGCTCCAGGAGCTGGCCCACGCAGCTGTGGAGACCTGGTCCGTCCCGGATCGCAGGCTGGACACCAGGGAGGGGTCACAGTTCAAGTCCAAAGGCTGTCTGCTGGCAGGCTTCTTTCTTGATGGGGGAAGTCAGTCTCGCTTCTAAGACGTTCAGCTGATTGGATGGGGCCCAGCCTCAGGAGGGAGCATGATGTGCTTTACTCAAAGTCTACTGATTTACATGTTAGTGTCCACAAAACACCCTCGCAACTACATCCAGGATAAATGGCCAACTATCAGGGCACTGCCGCCCGGCCGAATCCACCCATGGATGGACCAACACCCCAGCTGCCTCAGAAGCCCCCCTTCACGCTGCATCCCCAGCACAGCATTGTCTCCCCGCCCCCCCCCCACACACACACAAACAACCACGCCCGGCGTTCTTTGTGGTCTGATCACACGTGCGTGTCCCCAGACGCCAGTCTAGTCTCGCCCACTTTTTTTTTTTTTAAGATTTTATTTATTTATTTTTAGAGAGGGAAGGGAGGGAGAGAGAGAGAGAGAGAGAGAGAAACATCAGTGTGTGGTTGCTGGGGGTCATGGCCTGCAACCCAGGCATGTACCCTGACTGGGAATCGAACCTGCGACACTTTGGTTTGCAGCCCGCGCTCAATCCACTGAGCTACGCCAGCCAGGGCTCGCCCACTTTTTAAAAACTGGACATGCCTTCCTATCTCCTTCCATCCACAGGCTTCCTCCTCATCGCTCTCTTTCCCTCCCACTTGCTGTGGAGGAACCCTTCAGTCTGTGCAGGTTTCCGTCTGGACCGTGCTGACCGCACACTCGTGGTGCCGCTGAGAGCGTATCTTGGACGCCGTGTCCCTCCCAAACCAGCGGCTGGGTCGCCGGCGTGCGCGGACCTCGGGCTGATCTTTTCGGTGAGAAGGCGCACTGTGGCCGTTTTCCTCCTTGTTGAGGTCAGTCGTGGCCGATGCTCCACATGTAGAACCATCAACTCATCAAGGAATTGCAAACGGGCCAAGTGCTATCATTTGATTGTCATTTATTAGCTTCAGTAACTTCACAAGGCATCACTGCCATACCCCCGGTACAGCTCATGTAGGATACGCAAGGAAAACACTCGACTTTGCCCCCGTCACCTAGTTTATTTTTTTAACTGGTTCCCTTTCTTCCTTAAGAGGTGATCCAAGAAGCCTTCTAAATATTTTGAACTTACGGCCTAAACATATCTAATGGGTTTTAATCCATTGCGCTTTTTGAAGCTCAGAAAGTCCTTTCTTTGGCCCATGGAATCTTCCAGGCTGATTCCCTAGTGAACTTCGATAGCTTCCTTCCTATCTGGTGTATCGAGATAACCCGTTCTCACCTGGTACATTTCCTGTCCCAGAGATGGGTCAGTTATTTCTTCAAGAAATCCTGGTTTCTTTTCAAGACAATGCGAGTGCTTGGAGGGCTCCTCGCTGCTGGTTTGGATAGTGTTTCTAGGTCTTTCTTATGAACAGAGGCAGGGGGAAATAGTAGGTGCCTATATATGCATGTATGTAAGTTACGTATGCATGTGATAAAATACCTCATCTTTCATACTGTTATTTCCAGTTCAAATTCAGGACTACTAGGTTTTTATTTGGTTTAGTGAATTTTAACTAATCTCATATATGTTGTATCTCTTCCACATCAGGAGTGCTGGTTCTCAAGGGTACGGGGGAATGATACAATTAGAATATCTCAAAACAATACCACCATCAATGCTGACAGTCACTGAAAAATTATCTGTGTATGCCACCCACGTCCCCCACCTTTTAAATGGTTGGCACTTTATCTACGTTGTTAGATCACATTACGTTGTTAGATCACATACTCACTGCAGAGAAGGAAAAACTAATCATCCGACACCACGTGGCTCGTGTGAAAATAGCACAGGAGTGCGGTAACGTCACAGTGAATATCAGTGAACAAAGTCACTATTCAGCTGTATTGGGGAATGGGGGCACCGCCTCCCCACCCGCAAATGGGCATGTGCAGCGGTGTGAAAGGCAGTGTGTGTGTAAAGAACTAAATCCTCACCCTCTAGAGCAGGAAGTGAGTACTTCAAGGTTAAAACTAAGAAACCAACAAGTAAGAATGCTCTTTGGAGATAAACAATCAAGTGAAACAATTCAAAGTCTTCTGTAAGGAGAAGGAAATGGGTGGGGCAGGGGAAAAGGAAGATGTCTCTATTTCAAAACAAGCCCTGTAGAGATTTTCGAAATACAGCACATTAGTACAGAGTATTCAAAATGACGGACTGGGTGTGGACACACCCCTTGGTTCAGGTGGGCAGAGGGAGATTTCGGGCGCCCAGAGCTCGGGCAAGAAGCTGACTGGGTGCCCTTCCTCTGCCCTGCAAAAGTAACCTGGAGGCAACAGGCAGGTGGCCACTAAGAATACAATCCTGCCAAACCATCACAGAGGGACTATTGATCTGTGAGCCTGCAGCACCACCACTGAGCCTGCATGTCTCACCTCGCCAGGCGCTCTAGTGAAGAACAGAAAAGGACCCCCCGGCACCGTTTATCTCTGCTGTCCTACCACGCTGTTTAGGGACCACCATTCTTTGATTTTTTTTTATTGCAAGGAGATAGAAATTTCAGGGGCCAGTCCAAAAGCTTCACATGCGCTTTAATCTCTCCTAAATGCCACACCCAACTGCTGTTTGGTTGTTAGCCACATGGATTTCGGCCTTCGGCCAGAATGTGGGAAGCTCAAACCTCGCCGCCTGCGTCTCAGGGCTTCCTGGGCCGGGGCCGCTGGGGCTGGCACAGCGGCGATGCGGGGAGTGGGTGAGAACAGAGGTGGGTGGGGACAAGGGCTTGTCCGGGTGCGTGTTCCTGCCTGTTGCTAACCTCCCCAGGGCCGGGCGGGAGCCCCACTCAGGGCAGGAGGGAATCTCTTCACACTCTATTGTGCAACAAAACGGGGTCCACGCAGGGCACGTGCGTCTGAGACTCCTCTGGGCAGGGGTTCTGATGCCGAAGGAAAGACTCAGTGGCCGTGGCGGGCCTACCTCGCTTGAGGAAATGATCTCAAAATCACACATGCCCCGATGTTTCCTTAAGAGACCCCCACCACACTCTTTTCCAGATCAAAGTCAACAGGTTTGCTCAATCACATGAACATTCTTATTTCCACAGACCCCTTCGGCAGATCACAGGACACGCAGATAGAACGAGAGAGCCC